GGGTGGGTTGGGTGTGATGTGGGTTTTTTTTTTGGGGGGAAGAGGGGGGGGGCCTCTGAATTGGGATATTTACAGATTCGTTATTCAGCTACAAGAGGCAATGCTATACACGAGAAAACTTTATCAACATGGTAGTGTTTGTTTTTGTTAAATTTATGGCATTTAGAGAAGGAATCTGATATGAGTTTTGTGGGTAATAGCTTTTTAGTCGGTACAAAGTTTTTTAGCTCTTTGATATTTGATTTTAGGATGCTGACTGTCTAATTGTTTAGCAGATTGTGAACCCCTTCAACTGGGTATTCAAATTTAAGCACTATCTAGGATGATTTCGACAAAATTTATTGTTCTCTTCCACCAGCATATTTAGATTTTCGGTTCTTTACACAATGTATCTACATCCTCTTGTAGTTCTTGACATATATATTGTTCACTGCTAGTTTTCTTCCTTATTAATGAACTCTTTTCTGGTAGACTGGATAAGCGTGGGCTTTTTATTTTTGACTTGCATATTAAACAGTGAATATCAAGAACATGCATCTATTTCTAAGCCCCTTCATGAGGTCAAAAGTGATAAATAAGATTGGTATTTACATTGTGTAGATGTTAATATCTTGAAGTTGATTACTGATTATTAAGTAGTTAATTAAGCATGAAGCTAACATCTATATCTTTTTTTATCAATCTGTTTTTTATTTTATTTTTTAAATTAAAGTAGGTTTAAGGTTTTATTTTTGGAAGATGATACAGCTCTTCTAGTCCTGTGTTAATTGAACATGGTATGGGCAAGTGGCAGCAATCTGACTGTGCTGATATGTGATTGGAATCACCTGGTGTTGTTTCATTTTAGTTGTCTTTACAAGAGTAATATTTTCTTGGATGAAAGTAGCATTAGTGTTGTTGATTAACTGATAGATGAGTTGTTTGTTCGCCAAGGCGTAAATCGATAAATTGAATTTGTCTCTGTCTGCTTCGATTGGTATTGGAATTCTATTTTTCTGCTACACTAGTTTTGGTTAACAAATTTTCTTTTGTTGCAGCAGGTTTGGTCATCATGTTATCAGATGCATAGCTGCAATCTAATTTTCAAACGAGATGGGGTAAATCAAAACATTAGGCCCAAAATCATGTGTGCTAGGAATATGACTGCCGGACAGTCAGATGAACCTGAAAGAATAAATTTGGATCATATGATGGACAAGGCAAGAAAACTGTGGGATAGATCTCCTCAGCCAGTCAAGAGCTTCCCTTGGAACAGAGCATTGGAAACTTTTATCCAACTCATACTTGACCTTATCCTGGCAGTTATCAAATACTTGTATGTACCTGTACTGGCAGTGACTGCCCTTAGTGAGATGTCTTATTGTGCACATGAAAAGAAGCTATATCTTGTCCCTTTTCCTTTTCTTGTTGGTGTTGCCGTTGCGGGGGTCTTAAGAGAGACGGCATTGGAATCATCTCCACTTCTCAAGGTGAGTAATCATGTAGTATCATATACATCTAAAGAAAACAGAAGGTATCAGTAGGATAGAGCATGAGGACGGTATACCAAGAACATCTTGTTGCATGTGTCTGCATGAAACAAATCAAAAGTGTTCCTAACAATCGAGACTCCTTGTGGAAATCTTTCGGTTATTATTCTACACTTGGTTTTTGGGTAACATATTTGAACTTGATTGGGAGTGCTTTGGTGCTTGAGAAAGGCTATTTTTCCCTTCCATTTGATGAATGTTTTCCATTTCTCCAGAGATAATCAATGAATGAATCTATAATTTGAACTATTTTACGCAATCGCGAATGATATCTTCCAATAGTGCTAAAATACTTGCTAGAAGATGATGGATCAATTTCAGGAACAGGTGATCTGCAGTTGATATATACACGCACACACATTATTTTTCATGTCATACTAGTTGTTTTGCCATTATTGGCTACTTATTAGTTTGTTTCTGTATTTGATACCCTTCCATTTTCATCTGAGTTTTGAACCATCTCCCCAAAAGTGAAACTAAGAGGTCAAACTAATGAATACAGCTGCTGAAACCGTGCAAATAGTGCCATTGAATCTACCTTTGTGGAGGGGAGAGGGCCATTTGCTATATATATTATGTGGTATTGTCATTAGGTTTGTTCTTATTTAGAAATAAAAAGGTGAAAGAATCACTTCCCGGGAAAAAGAAACAAGGTGAAAGAATGAAAACAATAATAATAATAAAAAAAGTGAATTTTATTAAATTGAGATTTCACTGTTGTTTTTGTATTTGCAGAATGCAGAGGTGCCCTGGCATCTTATTGCCGTTGCGATTTTCTTCATGTTGCTCAAGTTGCCAGGCCCGTATTTCCCATACTGGGGGCGCATATTTATTCCACACTTCGCAAATGGGGTATTGTTGAGGACCCTGTGGTTTGCATTTCTGTGGTACAGAAGGCCCCAGAAGACATCAGGAACAAGCAAGCTCTAAATTTTTGGCATAAAATCATTCGAGCAGGTACTACACGGATGTCCCTTGGAGAGAAGCTTTTTACAAAATGATGTGTAGATTGCACTGACAATTATGTTTTGTTCCCCTTTCATTTTGTTGGTATAATGTTAATTCTGATTCTTGAGAAGCTGATCGGATCGGGTTAGTTATGAGAAGAGTTTAGATTTGATGAATCTTGCCGGTGGTATTGTGTCTATACAGTGATGATCTTCTTCATTAATATTTTCCCTATTTGTTGTATCAACTACTTTTAGTCATGTCTTCTNATAATGTTAATTCTGATTCTTGAGAAGCTGATCGGATCGGGTTAGTTATGAGAAGAGGTTAGATTTGATGAATCTTGCCGGTGGTATTGTGTCTATACAGTGATGATCTTCTTCATTAATATTTTCCCTATTTGTTGCATCAACTACTTTTAGTCATGTCTTCTCCATTTAGACTGCCTTGAAAGATTCCCAAAATCTCTATGGGGAGGGAGGGAGGGATTGATGTTGTACATCACTTTCATTGGGGAAGAGACTCATTATATGTATGTATCTTTTTGACTGAAGACTAGTAGAAATGAAACTTAGGAAAAGAATACATTTTGGAGCTGTGTGTGTAGAGAGATTGAGATTTTAACAAATTGATTTAGTATAAAAATTTGACTCATTCTGCGTTTAGACTTGCCCTCTTGGTGTACAAACAAAACAGGACTGGAAAATGTCAACCGCCGAGCAGGTAATCCTCCCATTGGGGTGTTCATATGTGGGGTTTACTCACGGACCTGTTATTCAGCTAAAAAAATAAGCCCAATACCTTTCCAGAGAGTATCCGACCCATTAATAAACCCACAAAACTCCATTAACATCCGACCCAAGAACCTATCAGGCCGTCCACCCACTTTGATTGAAAAAAGAAAAGCTAACGGCATAAATTTTTTGTCCATTTTAATTCTAAGATATAATTTATAAAAATATTAAGTTAAGAACTTTTTAAATAAATATATATATACGTAAGAGCCTACCCAAAGCCCAGTTGTTAGCAAGTTGAGTTATCATACAACTGCTCGTAGTCCGGCCTAATCCTTTCAATAACACACTTAAATAAAAAGATTGAACCAACCCTACTCCCAGCCTGAAAAATATTCATGGCCTAGCCCAACCCACCCCATGGACAACCCTCCCATCCAAAGGCAAGATTATAATCTTCATTAGTACATGTATCTAGTATTATACAATTTTGATAATCCATTGTAACCAGCATTAAAAAGATTAAAGATTTAATAAATATTCAACGGACAGAATTGTTTTTTCTCAGTTTATTTTGTGTTTTACATAAATACATCTATTTGGCTATTTTACAAACGAGAATAACTATTTTACAACAGTTTTCTGAGAATTTAATGTACAAACAACGGCTACTGAAAAAAATCAACGTAAAGAGTAGTACATCAGCTAGTGCTACCAGAGAGCTCTCCCGAAAAAGCACTACCATAAGATTGTGATCCAGTTTGTGAACCCGTACCACGAACTTTCCGCAACTGTCGTATCTTAAAAGCATCTCTTGGAAGTGGTTGGCTCTGGACTGTCGTAATCTCATCATCTTGCCCTAAATATGAGGGGGAAAAAAAAACAAATGGGATTTTTCACATTCAAAAGCTCTAGTCTTTTGCACAAGTGGGGATCAGACGGACGCACAGCCAGTAAAACATCTCGTATAATTTCAAATCAAAAGGGACCCTTATTGAAAATTCGGAAGTCAAAGAAGCATGTCAAGTCTCCTTATAGTCATTAAGCTTGATCATAAAAGCACTCTGAAAATGTTAACAAGGATGTAACAAAAAGCTGGAACCCTACGGGTCTTCCATGGTTAGAATGTCGACTTGAGAACAAGCAGGTGCAACACACGTCTATGGCCCAAGTGGTGGTGAGTTATTTCTCTCTCTACACTAGTCTTTTGATTAGTACATTTAGGAATTGAGATTGAGATACAACATAGGAGACAATTCAACCACAATCTTCCTTGGAAGACACTCGAAGAAGCGAAAATAGAGAGGTCCATTTTTCTGTAAAATTCAATAAAGTTATAATGAGGTGAGAAAGGTCGACGTACTGTTTAGATCTTTCCTTTTTCCAGGCTGTCTGTCCCTTGTCGATTTAAACTTGTTTGATCCAGAAAGGTCACTTGTACTTAAAGCAGGGGCAGTCTGCAATTGTGATGAGGGAGTCCCCGATTTCCCTATTTGCACTGTTGGTATGTTGCTTTGCAGACATATCGATAGTACAAAGTCAATATCCGGTGATGGACCTACCATGTTAGCAACCAATTAGCAGCCTACTTGTGAATTCAACTAAATATGTTGCAAGTTATTGGCATTAGCAAACTTATTTAAAAATTAATCAAGAGAATCTAACATATTTACATCAATGAAGAAAATCCATATTTCTATATCAAATATACCCAGATTCAGAATATGATGACCCATGTAAAGATCAAAGTTTGACAATGCATATGGACAATGCTAAGGCAAGCAGATTTTTAAAAGAGTGATTCAAAATAAAATTCCCTCACATGCAACATTCTTGTAACCTTGACAGGTAAGATTTAAGCAAATGAGAAGTCAGTTGTTCAAATGGACTGCAATTTAAATACTTATACCTATGTTACAAGATATCAAATACTTCTCTTTTTTCTTCCTTCTGGTAAATCTTATCATGTTATACAGCATTTGCAAGTATGAGTAGTATCCTAGTTTGACTAGTTGATGCAGGACGGACCCTCAATAAAGGGAATTAAGGCTGTATAAAATCAAATAATGACTAGGGCTTTGATTTCTTTCTCTTGCTTTTGTTAATCTTACTATGTTATAGCACTTGCACGTCTGGGTGGTATACTAATATGGACAAGTTGATGCAGGACAGGCTCTCAATGAAGCAAAAATTTGACAAGGTAGTGCTTTGACTTTTACATTTCAGGGATAAAAAGGAAAAAAAAAATGGATTTAGAGCGGAATAAGAGTCACTTTAGGCAAGGCTTAAGTCTAGTTTTGGTCTATAATTAAGGAAATCCTTGCCAGTCGTATACCTTTTCAACCATCGGACCTGTAGTCTGAGTGGTATCACCAACAAAGGGCAGATTTGGTGCCATGGGAAATAAACTAAACAGAAGTGAGATTAAAAACTAGGAATGTCGCATTAGATCCAAATAAATGAGTCATTACTGCAATGGTTAAAGCATAAAATTAATGGAAAAAATGGAAAGAAAATATAATATGACAAACTATCAACTAACTATAGATTTTTTAAAAAGAAAAGGAAGTTTGTCAGATTACCATCGACAGCTGGCAAATTTGCTATAAACGCTACCAATGCAGGTGGCGTGGATTTCAAAATATCATTTGCTGTATTCGGTGTCCCACTACTACTTGATGCAACACCAGAAGTGGACAAGGTGCTTGAAATAGCAGTAAGTCCACTGGCAGGCGAGCCTGAAAAAATCCATTATATACAGAAACAATTAAACAACTTTGAGAAACATATTATAACAATGTAGATATACATCCATGAACATGTGACCATTTAATCTGACATTTTCACAATGGAACTTCCAGACCCCTGAATCATATTTTGGTCAAAACCAATTATATGAAATGCCAACAGAACAAAGCCCACAAACCAAGGGTAATCACTTTTTAATAGGTTATAATTGGCACTCAACCTTCAGGGATCCAATGAAATAGTAATCAGTAGAATTTGACCAAATCAGGGGAATATTTTTGCACTTGATTGATTTAAAACCTTATTCTGAGAATTCAAGTCGTCAGGATCCAGACAAGTGGTGATAACAGATGTCAAAAGCTCTAATTTACTATTCCTAACACACGTATATTCGTTGAACAAGTCCTGGACAATGGTTCTCTCATAAATTCTAGGAAATGTCACCTTGTATTTCTAATACTTCCTTGTACCTTCAAGAGAATGAATTCCAATGGATATAACATGACTTCCATTGAATTAACTCCACTTTTGATGCAAGCAAATTGCACTTTGTTGTTAGATTTACATGCTTATTGTCTGATTCAACCCTTGTATAAATGAGGTCATCATAAAAAAAAAAAGGAAATAAGCAATAAATTATAGATACCACGCTTCTGCATTGGATCGTAGATCACCATCCTGGAAGTATCAGGATAAATAACTTTTACAGGTAGATTTGTATTGTTTGAAAGTTCTGAAGAACCCTTATCTGTACCCAAAAAAGCAGAACTTACACATTGATCACCAAAAGTTAATTATTACAAAAACTCAACTATGTATGATCACATTAAAATACCTACAAAACCAGCTCCATTAGCCAGAGCAGATCTCTCGACCTTCTTATTGATGTTTTGAGAAAGCCACTGAAAAATTAATGAAAATGGAATAGTAAACTCTAAAGCATGTAGTTGCAGATATAAATTTAGAACTTACCGAAATAGGTGATAATTAGGCATTAGATCATCTTCCCGTGCCTCATTTTGGAGGCAGATCCCATGCTAGATTTAATTTTGTAACACTTGTTAAAACATGGATGAAGTTCTTATTTTGTGGTGAGCGCAACCAATAACAGTTACATGAATCTGATCATACGTTAGGGTGTGATTGCTTAGGAAACAGATACTGGAAGAGTTGCGACTCAGCGGCGAGGTGGACGGACCAGAATGCCAGCGATGCTGCTGCTGGATGTCAGCTTCATACAACTCCGGATATATTGACCACAGAGGAAGAATACTCCAAATGGTAAAATGATGTGGTAGCAGATATTGGTGCGAGGGGGAGGGGCAGAGCTAGGATATTAATGGCAAATAATTTGGTGATCGGGTAAAGCATTGGATCACATTAACCAACCCGTGGAGCTAGTGTTTACGGTTTATGTCTGTGGAGTCTTCCCACCAGGTCGAGGCAATTCTTCACCAGAACATTTAAAATCGTGGTCGATACCTTCATCGCCAACAAGATATCCGAGAAATAGGATTTTTGGGATAAGGAATAAACTAAACAAACCATGGATAAATCCAAGCGACCTTTTTTTAAATCCAAGCGATCTTTTCGTAGGCGTTTGCCCCCGATTCAATCGGGGGATCGAATTGATTATAGAAACATGAGTTTAATTAGTCGATTTATTAGTGAACAAGAAAAAATATTATCTAGACGAGTGAATAGATTGACCTTGAAACAACAACGATTAATTACTATTGATATAAAACAAGCTCATATTTTATCTTCGTTACCTTTTCTTAGTAATGAGAAACAATTTGAAAGAACCAAGTCGACGGCTAGAACTACTGATCTTAGAACTAGAAATAAATAGACTTTTTCTTCATTTGAATCAAAATTCCAAGCAATAGATGGAGATCCAAAAAACAAAAACAATTTTTTTTTTTTGTGCCTTGAAAATTATAGGTTGCTTATTTGTGATTTGATCCAATAACACATCATTCTCTGCAATTTGAAGCCTACACATGATTATGCAGTTTGGGACCAAACTGAGACCGTAAAAAATTTCATTAAAATTACCAATCGAAGGTCAAAAGTCAATGTTCTTGATATTTAACTTATCAAAACAACTTTCAAGCCCTTATGTGTGTTATATTTCTGTTTTTAACGACTTTTAAGCCCTTATGTGTCGTATATTCCTGTTTTTCTCTCTTAAAACAATTCAATCTCTTCTTCTCTCTTGCATTTTTTTGAACTAAATTGATTTTTTCAATTTGTATAGAATTTTTACGAAGAAAATTGCCAAAAAAAAAATGAAATATGAAAGGTCACTACCTTTTCATTTACTAGTGAACAATTTCTCATATTTTTTTTTTATCAGAACAATTTCTCACATTGAAAACAGAACTTTTGTATCTCCAAATTTAGTATTCCAGGGAAAAAGCTTACTGTATTTCAGAAAATCGATTCCAAAACTGACAGGGATATTAGTGTTTTCTGGTCACTACGGTCCACAAACTTTATAGTGCATGCCTTTTTCGAAATAATTGTTTGTTCCTGCTGCATAGCAGTAGTAAATATTATGGGAACAAAACAGGAGAGACGAAATAGACTGCAAAACCCTTGAGCTTAGGGGGAAATTAGAATCTAGATGATGTATGACATTCTATGAAAAGATATACTCAGGTATATAAAACCATTCAGATTGAAAAGCAGAAGATACCTCTTTCCGGGCCAAATGATCCAAATCCCTAGAAGAGCAAGGCCATAAATCCATAAAACTATAACGTGACACAACATCTTGTAGTGAATTCTCTAACGCGGCTGATCCCTCATCACCTGCTCTAGAAAGAGCTTCTTTCCTTCGTTGTTCAACCTATTTGAAGATAGTAGCTATGGCTTATACCTCAAATAGACTAGTAGCAGTAGTAGAAGTATTAATAACAATTATAATAGTGACAATTATTAATTATGAAAATAATGACATTAACAGCAATAGTAGTAGTATTGATAATATTAACTTCTGCAAAAAAAACAAGAGTCAATCTCTGTCGAAATTGTAACATCCCTTCCTGTATACATTATGCAGCCATACAGGCTAGAAAACCATGTGATTTTGGTTTATCATATTATCGACACAAGTTTCAAGTTTGCAGATGTCTAAGCTTTCATACTGTGTATGTCCTACGTAATTTTGCAACAAAGGTGCCACATCAATAGTCACATACACACCTCACTTGAATTTCCTAGATGCTCAACTGCCTTCTTTATAAGTGGTTGGCAAGATCATCACATATCCTAGAAACCTGAGTAAACGGTGAACCCTGTGTTATGTAAAATTATAAATTATAGGCTAGTTTAATTTTCACTCATGCCAATACACTTTTTAATTCCATGATGAAGCAATCCTACATTCCAGTTGGTCTGACCAAAACATGAATGACAGGCAGAGGTTCTCAAAAAAACTAAACCCCTGAACACACACATCAGTCAGCAAGAGGCAACAAATTTCATTGCTGTTAAACATCCAATGAAGAGTTTAATCTTCTAAAGTTCATGGACATAAGACACATGACTGAAGGAAAAAACTGTTGTGCAAGAAAAATTAATCTCCCACAATAGGAACCCAATTTTACAGCAGAATGCACCGACCCTTTTATCAGGTAAGAGCACCAAACTCACAGACATAGACATCACAAGCTAGCTATAGAGGACCGCTCACAATGTCAAACCATGCATTATAAAAATTTTCCTCATCCCAATTCTCATCTTAAACATTGAAAAGAACTAGATGTATATGCAAATTTTTAACTATGATAAAAAGGAACTGTATTTAGATTAAAATGAATGAAAGTGATGCTTTAAAAAGAAGTTAAAGACAGATTATGAACCGAAGTTCAAGAGACAAAGAGCAATATATGAAAACATATGGAATGACCCCAAATCTGTAAGCACCTAAATTCAAATAACTGTTAAACAAGGCTATAACTTTGATGCATATTTCCATATAAGTTTCCACCACGAAATATTTCAGAAGGGCAACTACCAAATGGAACAACAAGCATGTAGGGTGATGAAAAGGGGAGGATGTGGAGTGTTACAAAATATGGAAAACTGAAAATAGCACATCTCAATAAAATACATAACGTGAAAAGCTTAACATAGACTGTAATCACTTTCACTAATCACTATTGACTACATGTAACATGGGGTCCATGGAATCCCGTGGTAGGATATCTGTTTAAGCCCCTTAACTATTACTTGTCTACTGATATCCATGCAGATTGCAGGGATAGTAGTGTTTTTAGGTAATTAGGTTTTTTACATAGTGGCTAGAGGTCAGACCTAGAACAATAACAAGTGTTCATTTGCCCAAACAATACGCTGTGGGTTTGAGCCTGAGAATCAGTCTCTCCAAAAAGAGACAAGGCTACCTACTACTTACAGCTACCAGGCCATGCTACAGGTGGGAACCTTGTACACTAGCACAACCCTTTAAGTGATCAAAAGGTCAACCCCATCAATGATGCTCCCGCCAATAGGATAGAAAGACATTTTATGATACATAAAGTTGAAAGGAATCATAACAGCAAATGAGCAGGAAAAGAAAAACCAAACTCAAAACAATTTCTACACTAAAAGCAGGGAACTACCTTCAACATGCTGGCAAGATCTCCATATGTCTGCTCAAATTGGGTGAATTTTTTCCAAACCTACAGTGATAAATTATATTCATGCGTTATGCATCAAAACTTCGATTAACAATCACTGAAAATTAATATGCATAGGGTCTTTAAAGCCAATTATGAAAAGATGGAGAAGGTAAAAAGGTTTAGGACTAAGTCAATAAACAATTAAACATTCCTATTTTTTTCAAGGTGCATGAAGGCTAGTAAAATTGAACACAACAAAATAACTTAGATAACCAAATATGTGAAGCTTCGGATATTAACCAACAAAAAAGGCAATTAGTTCTTAATTTTACATCTAACGTATGCAGTTCCATAGAAGTCATATATCCTTGAAAGTATGCACCAAAAGAAGAAAAAATGACTAGAATGTCCCACAATCTTCAGTTTGCACTATTTTAAAAATATGAATAGTTCAACTGGGGACAACAATCAAGCACCATGGCGTATAGATCCATAAGTCGACATAATTTGCCAATGACAATAATGATGATGGTTGAGATCACAAAAGGCAAAATAATGTACCTCAACAGATTCCTCTGGTGGAAGTGAGCTCAACGCTCGCTCAAATAAAGCCCGGATATTTCTATCATCATTTAAACGAGTCAAGAAATCCGCATATCTGCAACGTTAGGTCAGGACATGGTAATCAATAGGTCGATGTGTGCATAAATATATACAATCAATCACCAAAAGTGCCATTGGGGCTTAAACAATGTACACATGCATGCACTGATAATTTACAAACAGATATCAGAGCATTCGTACAATTCTTATCTTTTTCCTCTCTCTCTCTCTACCAAAAACAGGGTTTCCACACATAATTCCTCGGTGCAACAACAATTTCTTCAAGACTCGAGACCACAGGAATCAACAAGCAACCTCTGAGGTACATATCTCTAAATAAGGTGAAAAGGCAAACTCACTCAAGTATGTATCCAGGCTCATGCATAAAGCGTTTCAACCCTGCTTCAAAAACATTGTGTGCTATCTGCATGAATGTGCAGCAATGATAAGGTAACCCCGACATAACAGTAAATATTACCAACTGACAGTCTACAGACGTTAATCAATGCTAACTTATTTAGAATCTTGATGAGTTTGGAGTAGGTTAAAGGTAAAGGAAACTTGTCTAAATACATCCTACATGGAAATTAAGTGGACAAAGCAAGCATTTCAGAAAACAACAGAAAAAATAAGAATGAAAAAGATGACAACACATTGAGCAGACTTGCACTTCTTTTCTATTCTTAGACAGTTTCTTCGGTGCATCACAGCCAACTAGCCAGGTAGTGTACCCATCTAAGGCTCTCCTATCGTATAAAACTTAACAGCAATACAGCACCACCAATCACCTTTGCATCCTTGTCAAGACAAAATGCCATCATGGCATAAGCAACATAAACATGATAAGTGCAGTTTGGAGATTTGCGCGCATCTACAAAGTACTTACGAGCTGCTTCAACTCCTTCTGTTCTCCTTAGAAAGCGAATATACTGCAGATTAGACACCATAACAAGCTTTAGTAATCTGAAGTATGAGCACAGTGGATTCTCCTTGAAAATCTAAACTTCACAAAATCTCTCAAACATACAAATTATCCAGTTTAACAATTACAACGGAAAACAAAAAATTACTAATGGTGTCAAGCGACCAATAGAAGAGTAAAGACAGGTAAAAGATGTCAACTAACGTATTCCAATGAAAAAAACCAATTCTAATTTCCATGGGACTTTCTTTTAAATGCAGTAGTCTTCCATGTTTCGTTTTATTTATATGCTATTCAGTTCATATTGACTGTAAAATCTTTTCTTGATTCTGAGTCAACTTAATAAAACTGAACTAAGTAAAGTAGTAATCAAAAAATTAACAAAATGTAAATTAAAAATAAGGAAGTCAAAAAGAGTATTATGGCCACAGAATCAAATTCAATAACCACTTACAATTTAGTAAATTATTGTCAAGTTGAAATACATTTTTCTTACTGAGGATATAGAAACCCGCCATCCATATCAAACCAAATTTAAAATATGGCAATGTCACCCACACACACAGGCACACAATGAAAACCAAAAAAGGAAGAAGAAAACCAATGTGTGCATCATGCACCACTCTACACTGCAAGCACAATCACAACATCTGCTTTACAATGAAATTGGTGCTTAGTATATTCTATATCTGCCCCCCCCCCCCCCAAGGGTCCATTATCACTCTTGGTCTGGCTTACCAATCATGACAATCCATCTGTTACATAAATTATCTTTTCATATGGAGACTTACTAAAATCCAAGTGGCAGTTTCTAAAGAGGGAATGGTTGTACACCAAAGCTGTTAGATCATGACTACCGAAGACATGAATCCTGATGTTGGCTTGACAGTGTTTGTCAATTATAGTAAGTACACAGAGCACAATAAAGTTACTAATGGAATTCAAAAATCCATACTTGTATATGTGATAATGCTGTTGCATTGACACCATCCCCCAGAAGGTTTTCATATACTTTCTTTGCTGCCTGCATGAAAACTAAATTGCATCGTAAATCCATAGATCTGAATCGTGGGACCCGTCACATTTGTTATACCTGAATCGCTCCACTAGATTCCTCCAGCTCTGCATAAGCATATCTTAGCATTTCTGAATCTAACCACAAAAACCAAAAAAAATCAAAAACATAAAGTAAAGGAAGCAATGAAAAGAAGGGTCACAACCTACTCCAGCCTTGCTAGACGCAAAGTACTGCAACAAGAATTTCCTTATAACAATAACAAATTAAAATATAAAACTATAGCAAGTTCCTATGAAACAAACAACATTGAAGGCATAAGACAACAATTCAGATGACTGAGAGACGATAAGAGGGGGAAAAAGGGATAAATACCAGGAAGAGCCTTCAAAGCTCGATGAAATACTTTGATTGCAGAGTCCATTGAACCACTTTTTGCATGCCATGTAGCGTAGTCATACCATATATCAGGATAATGATATAAATACATGAGGCACTGCACAAGGCACAACTAAGCAAGTAATTTCTCTAGGGGAAAAAGAAGGTAAAAGAAAAAAAACAATGCAAACCAAATATAGAAGAGCGACATGATGGACAGACACAAGCTTTTACTACAGAAGTGGGACAGCAATTAACACATTTGATCATAAATAACAAACATAACCAGATAAAATATCAGACCAAAAACACTCCTACCCTCTGACATTTAGCATAGATGATAAATATCTAAAATCAGCTTGTATTGTTTTTGTAGAGCAATGGCAAAAGTTCTTTTTTTTTTTTTTCTTAATAATCTTCTATCGTATTCTATCAGCGAAAAAAACATAACTCATATATGTCAACAAGAAAAGCCAACAAGGGTATGCAAACCCATGACATTAATAACAACCTTGCAGTTACAGTAACAGGTTCTTAAGGAAAAAACAGGTGGAAACATAATCGCAGTAAAGTATTAAACTTCCATCACAATTCTTTGGCTAAGTAGCAAGGCCGGTCCACATAGGAGATGAATTCATGCAATAAACTGCCTTCAATAAAACGCTCAAGCCCGCCTCGACATATTGAGCTTACCATAAATGAGCGCATAAAAAGGATGCCTGTATGAGTATGCAAAAAGAGCAAATAGACATATACAGCATGTTGTATTGCTACAAATATAAAAAAGAGCTGTACAAAAAATCAGGACTTTACAAGAATTGTATAGAAAACAAAGCAGCAGGACTTGACAGAATATTCTATTCATTTGTTCCATTCACAATACAGAAGTACAATAAAAAGAGGATTTCTTCGAGCGGAGGATATAAATAAATCTAATAGTGATTATATAATTCCAGCATGCGTTTAAATATACTTAATAACAAACATATCTGTGGCCTACTTTGAGCAATTTGGCAAGTTGATATGTACATATCACAACAAATATGTATGTTGTATCCACATCCATGCAATGTAGGGCTTTTAAGCAACAATATAGAAGAAAATATTGTGAGACTAATAAAGCTCCAAGGAATTACCAACAAAATGTTAGTTCTCCTAAATAAACAAGTGGAATGCTACAAACTGGCAAATAACAATGTTTCAGAAAAAAACCAAAAGAAACAGACAATAGTTAAATTTTCAGTACCTGCTCATATGTGAATGCAATTCGTTTATTAGCAGATGCACTGTCTATCCTTTGAGGATTACCCCTGAAATACAAGTAAAGTAGTTTAATTAAAGCAAGACAACCCAAGTGAAACTTAAAGCTAAAGAGTTCACACATATCAGTTCCAGACCACTTGTATGGAAATAAAAGATGTACTAAGGTCAGGGATAACAAAAAAGCATCCCGTGCCAGACTTTCAAGGACAAACATCAAAGAAACAACAAAAGAAACAAACCAAGATGAGGTAGCTCCATGAGTATTTGAAATTAGCACAAAAAGATGAAAAAGATTGGGGAAAATGAATAAGAAAAGATTTCTTAAAACAAACTGAGATGGTCTATTATGCAACAGAATACTATCATTGGTCAATGAAAAGATGTTTCCACTTCCAAAGCCCAATAAAAGAATACAAAGAAATGTACATTTACCCGTGCGGCCTGAAAGAATCTTGCGAACCCCACCCTTACGTAATAGATTTTTAAGCATCATCTAAGTAGTTCATTTGCATTGGACCTCCACCCCCACTTGTTTTTTTCCTCTCTAGTGGGTAGGAACATTTTGAGGCCAAAAAGTTTGATCTCTTGTCAAGTTTGGTTATAGATGCTTGCCGCCAATGCCAAAAAGCCTTTTAAGGGTTATGGGCCCAAATACTTAGATTAAGGCTTCCAAGCAGAATATGTCTTCTCTAATCAAGCAATTATTGCAAATTAAACAGACTCCTACCCAGTACCAACAACCACAAGCATCAGTGGGGTCAAAACTGAAACCTAAATAGTCGTACATAGTAGCAATTAGCTAGGGAAAATATTGCAACATTGTTGTTCTGGTTGTAAACATTTGGTTTTAATTTGCAAATAAATTGCCTTATCTATTAGGGAACCTTTTACTTTATTAAAATGAAAAACAAGCAAGCCCTAAGCCAATTTTCACATTTCACACAGGTGATGCATATTTTGGTATGATCTAAAAGATGCTCCTAATTCTTAAAAAAGCAATCCCACAACTGGGTATTTTCTTGCAAGATTCCCAGCCAGCAAAGCACACAATTTACTACTGATGATCACCATACCATTAATCTCTCGAATGATAACTTTAATGAAAATTGCAACCTTTACATACAATCAAAACCTGAAAAACTCCCTTACGCAGATATGGATATAGAACAACAAAAAAGGACATCAGGAATTGCAACTTACTTTTCGAAGGCTAAAAACTTTTTCCACGCCATCCATTGCATTTCCTCCTGCAGGAGCATAATAATAAAACAAATTTGTACAATCGACAACTGAGAATAGAATGGTTAACAATATGCGAAAGAGATTAATGTGACTTTGTTTACATCTTAAACCATCAAGCCTAACAAACAGGAGTTCCCCATGTGATTGGATAGACAGTAGGCGATAAAAAACAAAATTGCAATGAAGTTTAGCAGGATGAAGTAAACAGTATGATTGCAAGTTAATTGGTGTCTTTCCAAATAACTGGCTGTGCATTTAAAAACTTTGAAGGATAACACAAGACCTTCATAGTAAATGTTTAGTGAGATAAAGAAACCAACAAATATGAAAAAAAAATATAAATAATTAGAAAACACCCAAAGGCAAAAGAAATTGCCTTGGAAGAACCAGATGTTGGCACAGCAAGCATATTCCAATCAATTTCATCAACATATTTCTTCTGCTCCCTGTAGACGGCTCTTGCACTGTTATATTTCGGTTGATATTCAGACAACAATCCTTTAGCCTGCATTATATGATATAATCAAATACAGTTATTCTGATCAATACATGTAGCACAGATATGGCCATCAATGGCAATGGCAATTTCAAATCATGAATCATAAATATTAAATAGGGCTACCATCTCATACATCATCATTATTCATATGTTCCTGCATGCCAAATGTAAACAAATAGCTATTACCTTTTCTAACAGGATAGCAGAGTAATATAGGACAAAAAAACTCGGACAACAGTGCAGATCACTCTCTTATGAACAAAATGTGGAACATATGAACATTAATGATCCCACCTTTTTAATTTGTCATAGAAACAAAAGTTGGGAAGTCAATATTGAATTTTTGTGCCAAGAAATTGTTGTAATGCAAAATCTGCATATTCCATAAAATTCAGTGTGTTGTGACATAACCTATTTTATTGGTTGATACTTGACAGCCAACTCCATGACTATTGGCCCATGGTTCTCTTAAGATGTTTGTTCACAAAATGGTAGAACTCTCTCCATCATCTGCTTCTTCTTTTAGCCATGAATGAGGAAAGGATTAACCTAGTTGGATTATGTATGACATTACCACATAACATCAACCCATCTTGCGCCTACATGCTTATAAACCATAAGCACCAGCCTTCTCTATGCCAGAATCCCTTAAAATCAAACATTAAGAATAAAGAAATTCATAAAGTAGAACCAACTATTGGTTTTAGGAAGCATTTTCTTTCTTCAATGAGAAGATTTTTTTATCTTTAAAAGCTATTTAAAAATCCTATGGAAATGAAACTGTCCATAAACATGCTAACTCTACCCCTACCCTTCCGTCAGTTCTAGTATATAGAACAAGGCCTACTGTCATCACAATTTCATATGAGTTATCTCCCCATCAAACAATCATTGGAAGGTCCCATAGTTAATTCTCATACCAAACTATTCAAAGCAAGAGAAAAAGAAGCAAATCACCATTGTCAAACCAAGAAGATCCAAAGGTAGTGTCCAAAAGGGACAGGCCAATAGAAAGTCATTTAATCAATAAGGGATGAGAACAATGTTACCTGGACCATTGGTCACTTTAGTATGTGTTACGGGTATGAGTATGCGGTAGGATACTTTCTTAAGTACGCAGTACAATGGGAATAGGCTTAACTGGTACACTATTTTGAGTCGCAATTTGTTTTAGAACTCTTATATAGATTATTTTCACTACTATACAACTATTTACTCCAAAATATGAAATCTAGGAATATTCAATGGGGTGACATCTGACATTCCTAGGTTTGCTAAAAAGGTGCCACGTGGCAAAAGCCTAAGCAAGGCGGGAAGATGGCCAACAGTAATCATGTGTAAACAAAAAAAAGGTTACATACTGGGAGCTACTATTGGGTAACAGTCAATGGAAGCACAACCGTCGAAGAAGATGGCTATAAAAAGGGAAATAAAGAAAAAAGGAACAGCATTAGTGTAGATTCTAAGCTTTAGATTGTAATGAAGGTTGATCATTCAATCTCTGTCGTAACTAAAGTCTCTTCATTGAATTAATAAAGGAATTTGCATTTGATTAGTTCTATGTTTTTTACTTTGTCTTTGCTCAAGAATATCCGATTTTTTTCATCTAAGGAAATCCTGAAACAAGACAGTGTCCAAACAATCGTCCGATAAATGTCCATCGATTTGGACCAACAATATCATAAAAAAAAAAATAAACACTACATTAGTTACCATTTATCTTATATTTGTGCTTGATTTTATATTATCCAAAATAATATATAATTATAAATCTATATACATGTGGTCAATTAATGTGTATTTTACATTTATGCTACATGATCCAAAACGAATCGATTTAAAGTTGGTATTACATTTTGGTGATTTGGATCGCGAAACCATCCCATTTGGGATAGATGTACCCAAATCGTGGGTTGTCAGTGGTTTAATTAATATTTAGTCCACCATAGGGCCTATTTATAGACTCCATTGGATAGCAATTTCATCCGTTGTCAAAATGATTCTATTATCAGTCGTAATTTCCTATGAGAACGTGTCAAAGGACTGGAAAGACAATTGGTTTTCTAATACAAATAAATGATCGATTACTTATCCTTGAAAATCCCAAAAAACCCTACATCAGGGAATAACTGCTAAAGCATGCCTATGCAGTAACTAATCCAGCCACAAAAACCTCAAGCAGTAAAATCAACTCTTAGGGTTGTGCTTGTTCAAGTCTACATATTGAATGTGTCAAAATACCTATAATGAAATCATGAAACTTATTGAAAATTTTGTGCAATCAAAATGTACTGAATCAAATTGGATTTCAAATTCAGAAGAAAACAACTACCAGAGCTCGGCTGACAGAATTTTCAAAATTTTCATACTCCTTCCAAAGTTGTTCAACATGATGGGTAGGAGTAACAATAGCCCTTTGGTATGCTTTCCGCACAGCAGTCATCCGTTGTGATTCTTCTTGTGTGGTTTGAGCCTACACCATCATCTTATAAGAAGGCTAAACGAAAATACTTACAAAATCAGAAGATGAAGAAGTCAACAGAATATGCTACGAGTATAGAAGGAAGCAATCTACAAACCGGCATGGCCTTTAAAAAGGTAATGTACTCCATCCAAACAGGTCCTGATGCAATGTCTGCTCCTGTTAGCATGTGGTGGAATAATTATAAATAAAGTGTTCTGATTAAACCTTTACATAAGTTTATTCGCATAATGAATCGTTCTTTAAATCTATAAGCATATGTAGAAGAAATCTTCCATTTATATCCACTCTACAAGAACACAAGACAATTTAGTCATTCTTGCTACATGTTGACCCTCAAAAAGATGGAACTCAAGTTTCTATTAATGCCAATTGACCCTGCTTCTGTGTTTGTAATTACATCTAGAAGCCTATATGAGACAACAGGACAAAATTTAGAGTTTTGTGACATTTTTTCAATCTAGAGAAAAACACTAAGCAAGCAGATAACACAAGAAAATTTTCAAAACATACAGCCTGTCTTTTAGTCATTTCATGTTCACTAGTCACACCTTTTCTCCAAATTAGAAAATATAATAAATATTTGTATTACTTTTTCAATTTTGCAGGGACATGAATCAACATCAGTGTTATTCATTCCGCGATAGGGCGAGCACCACACCCCTTTCATTCGATTTTCTTATCAAGACTGAATTTTCTTTTTTTTTCGGTAAGTAGTTTTTATTAACTGATACGCAAAAGATTTACCTATAGCCTATGTAGTATATAGAGGCAATTTGCATAAAGCAATTCAAAATATCAGCAAGGCATTTTCCAACATAGATTCAAAGCATGCTTTGATGGGTGAACCGTGAATGTAAAAAGCTTCAAATATAATTTCTACAAGTTAAGGATCCTTTCCCATCATATAGTATTTTTTTTCCTTACGCAGAATGTCAAAAACATTACGAACTCCACCATTTCCCACTACAAAATTTACTGTATTACTTTCCAACTCACTAAAAGTTGAATAACAAAAAAGCCTCAGAGTTGAGTTTAGTGCTATGTTTTGGGTTATTTGGAAGGAGAACAATGCAACAATTTTTTAAAATAGACTTGCGTGTTTGGATGGGTTGCGGAATCGTATTCATCTCTAAGCCTTGTTCTGGGCTTCGATTTCAAAAGATTTCAATGGAATTTCGTTTTTTGCAATTTTAGCGGGATGGGGAGAGACCTTTGATTTATATACTTGTTATGTAATTGTTGTTTCTTTCTTGCTTTGGATTTCTTGTCCAACCTCTGTGATGTATTTCTCAATTTGTATTAATATAAGTGTTTCGTTTTCTATCCAAAAAAAAAAAGAGTTGAATAATAAAGATGTTGTTTGGGAAAAAAAACATTGGAAGAAGAGTAATCAGCTTTGGTGGTTTCAAGCCAAAAGATTAATATTTAGATTAGAAGCACCAGATAAACTACAATGAGAAATCAATACCAAGAATCATACTATCTATCAAAGGATTCATATCCTATTTAGACAAATCTCCCCAACAATAAAATTTCAAGAAATCAAAACCCTAAAATCCCAACAACTAAGCTCAGCTAAATATTTTGTTTTTATTTGAAGCAATATTCTCCAATAAATCAAAGCACGTCCTGTCCTGCCTCACCTCAAGCTACACTCTCATTGTCCTCCTCATACCCCGTGTAATGCTTTCAACACAAATCAAAACACAGATTTTTGGGACGTTGCAGTTCGTCCCCTTTGTTGGCTATGAGCTATATTTCAAAAGCGATTTTTTTCTCCCTTTTTTATATGAAACCACACTGTCATTTCTAAATTGGCGTCACCACTTCCCCATTCAATCAAATCATATTTATGTTTTCTCGCATTGCTACCTGTCCAGTTCAAAATCCTACCTCTCCAACTAGACTTGTACACTAACAACATTCATTTGTTACTAGCCTTTCAAAACTTAATGGACACCTGACATAATCACCTTATAAAATTTTCTACCACACGTCATAATAAAATGGCGACCTTTGGACACTAGCACTCCTTACACTTTCACATCACTATACGCAATTTATAAATCCATCTGCCACAAGTAAAAAGGTGAGGGAACTTTTATCACAATCACAACTCAAAATTTAAAAATTATAAACTTCATCAATTGACACCATGACAATTTTTCCTGCCATTCTTAATTATTCCATTTTAAAAAGGTCTTTAAAATTTATCCAAAAAATTGGTTTCTAGAGACATAACCTCCCTGATCAGTATTGAATAATAGTCTACAAACAGAAACCACCAGTTTATACCATATTATATCAAGGCACTCAAAACAGATACTAGTGCCTCTGATCAGGTTTAACTATGATTTCAATTCAAGGCACCTGTACAAGTTTATGAAGTTTTCATCCATTATTTTCTAGCTTTTTTACACCAAAAACTCATTTTAATGAAGAAAAGAATAATCAAATAGTAAGATTCTGATTAAGAAAAGGATCAATATCAAAGGATCAATATCAAACACTAAAATAATCATCCAGGGAGGATTAACAAAGAAAACTAACCAACATAGCTGAGCATGAAATCAAAAGCTTTTTTGGTCTCTTCCTGACCCTCTATCGCTTTTTTCTCATTGACTTTTCGGATAAAACGGATGTAGCAGCGCCTACCATGCCGATAATATTGCATACAATGGAAAATATTGAAATTAGTAATGAATATTGATCAAGCAAATGTCATTTGAAATTTGAACAACATATTATGATGGGCAATAATTAAGTAAAACAAAATATGATCTGCAGTCAAGAAGAATAGTTAACACCAAATTCCAGAAAAAAAAATGACCTTGTAAAACACTTTTAAATTCTCAAACTATATCAGAAATATAATGTCCAATCTGTTATATTCAACTGAAAGAATGTACTTTTCAAGCAAATTAAAAAAAAAAAAAAAAACTGACGTGAAATTTTTTAAACATATACAAAAAAGTTCATATCACTAAATTAATAATTTCATTCATTTTTTTAATAAGACCAATTTCTTAATATTTCCAGCTCACCATTAGCTGATCTATACATAAAGACCATATGCAAAGAGGAAGCAAACCATAATTCTGAAAAAAACAACTTTCCAACCACTCTTCACCAACAATTCACTCCAAGACGTAAGACCTAAACAATGGAATCGCCTACTGAAGCACACATTACTATCTCATATTTCATCCCCACATATCATCTTCCAAAGCCGACAACATGCACAAAAGATCCTTCTGGAACATAACATAATCCAGTTAAATAAATAAGAATTTCTTCAGAGAGAAACTTACAGGGACGTCACCACCTCTGAGTTCCCCATTCAAAAAAGTTTGTGCCATCTTGTATAGTAAAGTGAATGATACTATTCATAAACCAAGGATACCCATACACTGAGAGAGAGAGAGAGAGAGAGAAGAAAGAAATACCAAAGAGGAATTTGCAGACAATTTAATAGGCACCGGCTAAATATTTGTTTTGTCGCATCATCATTGTTTACAGCCATGTGTGCCTCAACATATTGCTTCCAGTATTTTGCCTACAAAGACAAGGAAAGTTTCAGAAACATAACATGTGTATCTCAGCAAATAAACAACCACGCTTTTAGAAAATATCAAGAACTTATTTTAATGAGGAAAGGAAAAGGGGCCCGGTTCTGACATGACAACACTTATTTGACCATGAAGAGCTATAAAATTTTCCTTTTCCTGGGACACATGAGCTGACAAAGGACACTTTGTTTTGATTATAGTTGCTCCTTCCTCATGCACTTTTTAACAATTTGACACCCTTGCAAGCATATACATAGTTCTCTCTCTCTCTCTCTGAGTGTTTGTGTGCCCATGTGTCTGTCCATGTTTGTATGTGAGAGTTTGTGTGACGATACTTCAAATCCAAATTTCATTTCCCATCAAACTTAAGAAGCACATGCTCCCCCGAATGTAATAAGAAGGAAACCAACCCAAATTACTGCCCCATGCAAATTAGAGTGTGTGTGTGAGAGAGAGAGGGGGGGGGGAGTGAATATTTTGCAAAACAAAATTCTAAAGAGTTAAATCACTATGCTAAATTCTAAAATTATGTTGCGTTATGAAAGACCAACAAGGGTAATGGTGGCTCCAATCCAGTTGAGAAAGTAATAAGTCTATCTCTCTCTCTCACACATACACACGGTGTGTGTGTGAATTTTGTAAGGAGCACTAGCTACACCAATTGTCAAACCAACCTTGGAAGGCAGAAATTACAACCTTGTGCAAACTATTTTGGGTGTGCGAATGTGTTTGAGGGAGAGAATATGTTGTGAAACAAAATTGTAGAGTTTGATCACTCTGAAAGTTATGTTCCACACATTGAAAGGCTAAAGTCTAAATATATGTTGGGTCTTGAAAGGCCAAACAGGGATATGGTGGCTTTACTCCAATAAAGAAAGTAATATGGATGTACGTACTCAAGTTCCACTTCATCATAAAAATACCATCTTTATTTTTCTTCTTTTGGTTTTATTCATCTCAGTAGTAATAAAGATGTTCATTTGTCTTTCAGCAAACTTTTGATGTCAATAAAGGTGGCTTCTTTCACAAATAACCATGCAGGTGTTCCACTTGGGTGCCCATGAATGTAATCATGTAATGCCACAGGTGGAAAAAAAGTCAAATATGGACAAGAAACAACATCCCACTATTAGTAGACTCGTAGGGTATCCAACAATATAATGGATTTCTAGCTCTTTTTCTCTTTCGGTCACTTGACAATCGGGCACATGAAGAATGTTTCGAGCTTCCACTCCTCCCACTCATCAACCTCGGCACATTGTTTCGGTAGCTCAATTCATAACCCTCAAATATAGTCCCATTGAATGCCTCATAAAGCATATTATGTAATCTTCAACATCTAAACTAATCTTAGACAGCATATTATATCTTCTATACATATGGATTACCTCGTTGGTGAAAGTGTGGATCATACTAGTTGCTAGGCTTTCGGCTTTCCAACCATGTATTAGTGGACAATTTTGAATCCAGCCATCATACACTTACATTATAAATTTCAAACACAAATTGAAGTACATCTGCAATTCTTATCATACTAAAAAAAATATCGGATTGGCTAAACCGCATAGGCCCTATTTGAAACCAAATTCTAGTGATTCCAATAGCCAAATTGAACCTGTAAAGCAACATAACCAACGGAATGGGGGAAATTTTAAAAATAAAAGGCAAATAGAGGATGAAACAGGTTCAACTTTTAATCGAGTCTATGAGAAATCAGTGAATAACAAGATTTCCCTCCTAAAAGTGTGTTTTGAAAAAGCAAAGAATGTTCAGGATCTCACCGCTGTGGGGAAGGTGGCCAGAAGTTGCTCATATATAGGCACTGCCTCTGATATCGGTAGAAGCTACAGAAAGAAATATGTTACATAAGAATAATTTAATCAATAAACCAAAAGATAAAAGAGTACAAAATTGTAGCCACGGACTGGTTGAAGAAGAACACACCAGTGCCTCATTCGCATGCTTTTCTGCAGCTTCAACGTTGTATAGATCTGTCATAACGTTTGTTATGTCATGTGCCTGTGTGTTATACTGCAAAATCAATAGCGATCGTACATAGCTATGCACGTATATGTAGACGGCGTTCCACAAACCCTAGCGAGCGAGCGAGCGAGCGAGCGAGCGAGAGAGAGAGAGAGAGAGAAAAAGATTGTAATGGTCGTCCTTCATAACCCACACGATCAGACAAGTCCGTCTCTCCGCACCTCTGATGTCGCATGGTTATTCTTTTTCGGTTCGGAGCTCAAACCCAAACCCAGTTAAGATTGTTGGACCGAGTTAGCCCCGAAGAGAACCCAACTCGTTTTGACTTCGAATCGGGCGTCTTGGCCACTCCATCGGGTTGTTTTTTGAGTTATTATTTCCCTTCTTGCTTCTAAATTCTATAATTGTCTTTTTGGATAACTACCAATAACCTCGTATCAAAAAATACTCTGTAATATTAAAAATAGACATTAATTATATAATATTTAAATTTTAAATAAAAAAAAATTCTTTCATTATACAATTTAAAATCAAAATAAATAGAGAGAGAATTAGAAATAGATAGAAAAAAAGAGAGGTATGTGTAGATTAATAAAGTTGTTTGATATTGAAGAGTATTAGTTGAGTTGTCGAAGACCATACAAAAATTTTGATATTTTTAAACAGGGAAAAAGATTAAAATAAATTTTATACCATTAAATTAAAATAAATAAAAATTAGATCAATTTTGACATTTACGTTTTATTAAACTAAGAATTCAACTAGTTGATAGATTTTAATGGCTCATAGGCACGAAATTGGAAGGGAATCCCCAGGAAATAGTTATTTTAAGCCATAAAACTCATTCAATATTAAAATTTATGGTTAATTCAATAATAATAGTGCATACTCGGCCATGATTGTATAAGTTTATTGAAGCAAATGGATTGTTGAGGCATAAAAAAGGTTACAGTTTCAGTCTGTGATTCTCCCTTCATACTTACACAAGATTGACTCCAAGCACAATTTAAGGCTTATCCAAGCATAACTTAATCCCAACCTACATGTTATGTGAAAGAGTTAACTATACAAATGATCCTTAAACTATGCCAATTAAGTTCTTGAACTAATTTGGAATCAATTTAATATCTAACTATGCAATCAAATCAAATTGCATAGTTTAGGGACTAAATTGCATGACTCGACTATGCAATTTGACACGTGTGCTCGTAGTTAGGCTGGATTAGAATTTTCCCTGGGATCGACTCACTAAATAATCAAGCCAAATCAAACTTGATCTCCAATTTGACATTGCCATACAGGTCGGGCAATATTACAGGGCAGGGGAGCGACAAAATTCAAACTCGCGACTTTAAGNAACTTGATCTCCAATTTGACATTGCCATACAGGTCGGGCAATATTACAGGGCAGGGGGGCGACAAAATTCAAACTCGCGACTTTAAGGTTCAACCACAAAGGGCGGCGGTTATTAGGTCAATTGCTAACCTTGCCATACAAAAACTTCAAGCCTTGATAAGAGGGATTAATTCTAAGANTGATCTCCAATTTGACATTGCCATACAGGTCGGGCAATATTACAGGGCAGGGGAGCGACAAAATTCAAACTCGCGACTTTAAGGATCAAGTGTCCGGCCATATGAGACATTTTGTCAGGAAAGAACGACCAAAGGAAGTAGTACACAACATACTCACCAAAACATTCCCCGTCAAATCAGGAGTGAAGCAGAGTTTCAACTAAAGTGGCTATACATACGCAAGTCCTTGAACGACCAGAGTATATCATACAATCGGAGAAGAGGTTCAGTAGCTTACTGTTACAGTTACAGTGACAGAACAATACATAACAACAAGAACACAATTTCTACAGAGCACGCGGTAAGTTAAAAGAAAACACTTGAGTGGGAAGGATGGATTGACCAGACGCTGGCAGGTTCCAAGTTGTAGACTTGTTCAGCACGAAGAAGACACCTTTTCCCTTAACTTTCACGCCCAAAGACCTTAAAACAGAGGATTAAGTTTACCTTCATCAACCTCGGCCAGGCACATCTCAGTCATATAGCATAGACTATCTCTCCACTGCTATCTAAGTCGAGGTCAGGATCACTCTCGAAGTCCTCATCCATTTCATCATCAATGTCAAGGCTACCGGTCAGATACTGATTAAGACTGGCAGTTCCAGCAGCCGGAATGGTGGCTTCAGCAATGATCTGCATAATTTCATCAATGCTCTGCATGGGCTCATCAGGCTCTTTAAACTGGTTGTTCTTGGTGCCCTCATCCATCAGTTCTGCTGGGAGGGGGAGGTTCTGCAGAAACCACGAGTGGTTTCTGATGTCAAGCATGGTTATCCTCTGTTGTAATGTCATCAATTGGATTAAGTCAAAAAATAATAATACAGGGTTTTACAATCCTCCAACATTTAAGAGAGACAACAGAAGTCAGCAAAATGACAGCATCAAAATTTATAAGCAGGTCATTACCCTCAAAGCAGTTTTATTGTTATTTTTGAAAACCATACAAGGCAACCAGTCAGAAATGCAGCAAATTCATGAACACAGCCCCCCCACCAAACACACACTCACAAAAATAAATAAATGGTCCATGTACAAGTGTATGTCAATCATCTCAGTTTTAAAGAAGAAAACAGAAAGATGGGGAGTTCTATTATAATGACAAACAAAAGAGGAACTCCTTTCGAATCACCATCACCCCCAAACATACATGCCCCTAAAGGGTGGAAAAAAGAAATCTTACGAGAAAAGCACCAAAACTTGTGTCCCATATTATAGACAAATTGAACATCTGCAAACAAGCTCTGGTATCAAGAAACAAAAACTGACCTGTGCAGGATCAGCTACAAAAATCCTTGAGATCAGATGGCGGCACTCTGCCGATATATGAACATAATCTGGAATTGCATACTGTACATTAAGAATTCGCTGCAGAAAACAAGCAATTACCTAAGTCAAAAGTAATTTGGATGAGATGGCATATGCGAGAATTACTTGGAATAGTAAATTACTTGTATTGTCTTGCGAAAGTTCTTAGGGTCAGCAGGGTCCTCAAAAGGATATGCACCCACGAGCATGACATATAAGGTTACGCCACAAGACCACACATCTGCAATCTAAAATAGAAATGGTGCATTCAAAGCAAAACTTTAGCATTACAATATGGTCAGTACTAGTGTGAATTNGAGCATGACATATAAGGTTACGCCACAAGACCACACATCTGCAATCTAAAATAGAAACGGTGCATTCAAAGCAAAACTTTAGCATTACAATATGGTCAGTACTAGTGTGAATTCATGACTGTACATGTGCCAAAAGGCTTCTTGATTGCAGTCAACTTGACTCAACTACTTGAGTGGCTACATAAATCTTGTTCTGTCTCAATACTCAGTCTAAGGCTATGTTCTTTTTGTTAAAGCAAAACTATCATATGATTCTGTACTATCTCACTCACTGCCAAATTTTGGTCTACCTCTATTCCTGGCATCATCATCGATAGATATCATACTACTCTTCCTTATTAATGCATTCATAGTTCTTCTTTGAACAAATACAAACCATTTTAGTCCTTATCTCTCAATTTATCAACTACTGATAGTACTTCTATTACTTCACAAATATACTATTCATAATCTTATCCTTTCTTCTTGTAATATACATCCACCTTAACATCCATATTTCATTCACACTTAAATTTCATGTTTAATGTTTCGTAGTTACCCCACACTGTACAGACATAGAGCTTTTTTTCAACTCAAGAGGTATACATGAACCTCTTGCAGAAGAAACTTTTGTTTGTGTCTCCCAATTCCCTTAATATATTTTGTATAATAGAGCCCAAATGCCACAGAAGACAATGTAAAACAGCCTGACAAAGCCTGTATTTCCGGGCATGACTGGCCAAACAGTTTCTGATATGCTTAGATTCTTTGTAGCACAAATATGTTGAAAACACCCATCCACATTCAGGGGTCTAAAAGGAATACAATGAGGAGTTCTATGGGCTGTGCAGTGAGTTCACAGATAATTAGCCAGTCAAAACCACCACTGCCCTGATATCCAATGGCAGCACAACCTTCCTGGCCCTCTTTGTTTTTCAGGCTTATCCAAAGACTCATGATTTCCACACCTTCTCCCCCCCCCCCTTTTTTTTCTTCTCTCTTCCTTCTTCTTTTAACCCCAAAAAAAATCAAGAGACAAACACCCCCAACTTTCTCTTAAACCCCAGCTACATAAGGTTCCCTTGCTCACATGCATCAATAGTGAGCTTGACCCAATGACAGGAATCTTATAAGCAACATAGAGCAATACTTTCCTATATTCATCCTGCTTTAAGACATTAAGCATTTAGATATCATTTGCTATTATATGACCTAATGGACAATAAATTGAGAAATAGACACCATCCTAACTAGTGAACTTTTTAGGAGTAAAGTAACGTCAAATAAATGAGACATAGATTTACCTTGCCATCATACTCTTTCTTGAGCAACACTTCCGGGGCAATATATGCAGGAGTTCCAACAGTTGATTTGGGTTGTGAATGCAGCACTGAGGACTGAGTAAAGCAATCACAATCAAAATACTTAAATAGGAAACCAAGAAAAGAACAAAGATATGGGGTGAAAACATGAAAGCAGAGTCAATCATAGGAAATAGGAACCATTAAGATACAATAAATAACTACTCTCTCTCTCTCTCTCTCGCATTCTTGTTATTGTTTGGAGCTATACATTGAGAAACTAATTAACATGCATATAAGATTTCAAATAACATCTCCCATGAAAGATATCCTGATTCTACACATAACAAATCTATATTCCTCGCATGAGATGAAGAATCATAAATGAGCAGAAGAATAACATAAAGATGGAGATACAAACAAGAAAGAGATTTGGTACCTTGGAATACCCAAAATCACAAATCTTCAGTCGAGGAGCTGGGCTTCCGTCCAATAATGTGTTCTCCAATTTCAAGTCCCGATGGCATACTTGCTTTATGAGGCAAAAAATACAACAAAATTAATAAATTCATATGCAGACTGCAGCACATTTATTTATTGAAAGAAGGGCATAGAATTTCTTTATATACCATTGCATGACAATAACTGACTCCTGATATGAGTTGTTGGAAGAAAAAGCGTGCCTGCAGCAAAGTAAATACACCATCAGTAAAAATGGGATTCAAGTAACAACCACAATTAATGCACCGGATAAAAACCTCATCCTCGCTAAATCGGCCGGCATTGCATATCCGCTCAAATAGCTCTCCTCCAGATGCATATTCCATCACAATTGCCAAATGTGTTGGTGTTAATATAACCTAGTAGGATTTTTACAGCATAACGTTTATTGACTCAGGCCTTTTAAGAAAACAATGCAGAAAAGACAGAGTTTGGACCAGAAGGAACCTCTTTGAATCGGACAATATTGGGATGCCTCAGTGATCTGTGGTTAATAATTTCCCTTTGTACATTTTCATCTATCTGTTAAACAAATTAACAAGAGATTAGATAAAGAAATAAGTAAATAAAGAGTGCATCTCAAAATCAGACAACTCCACTCAAGTGAACAACTTGTCCCAACAACCTGAGGGCGTCCCAATATCAGATTAAGTACCTCAAGTGTCTGAAGGTCAAAGGGACTAATCACTAATCAAACTGGCACTAAGTTTATAACAGAGGCCATAATGGACAGATCCAATCACATGAGCAGAAAGGGTAAAAAACCCAAGTACTTGTTCAGGACATTTAATCACCATATTTTGTCCGCTTTCTCTAGTTTACCTTTCTTTCTTAGACATAGCCACAATAATGATCCTCATTACATGAAGAATAATACAGTTGCTAATCTTGGGACACTGTATATCCAGTAACAAGTTGAACTAAGCCTCTTTCTTTGTTTCTAGAATGTAAAATACAGACAACTTAGTATCTCATTACAGGCCAGGTTGGGATAGCTGATAAGCTGTTGCAAACTTCCAAGTGACCTTCCTTTTTGCTGCCCATTATTCATATTTCGGAAGTGAAACAGAAGAATTAACATTAATATATTATGATTCAAAACACAAATCAAAGGCACATATTGAAGCTTGGACCAATTTGTTTGCTTCCTTTTTCTAACCGATTCTCTAAATAAACCAAATCCAAGCCTTATATCCCAATCATTTGGGATCGGCAATATGAGACGCTCTTCCCTATTCACTTCGGAAGATTCGCTATAAGCTCAAACCGATTCTCTAAATCCAAAACATAATTAACCCGAAACTGATGGGAATTTCTATATATATAAGAAAAGCAAATTTCAACCAAACAACCCAACCACCAACCAGTTATTATAAGACCAAAACATGGGCTGAAACAATGGAGCTTGAGTAAATACAAATTGAAGTAAGAAACTTAGACACTGACCTTCTCACCTCTCTCGATATACTTGACAGCGACGAGCTCGTTGGTCTGCCTATCCCTCATCAGCCTGGCCACACCGAAATTCCCCGAACCGATGTCTCGAACTAGCTCATACCGATCGCTGTCGTGCATTATTGGCAAGTCCATGCCCGGCCCTACCGTAATTGCCGATCGATCCATCTCTACAATCCCCTATTCCACCAAGCTCAAAGTCGAATTACCACCAGAATAAGAACAACTCAGCTGTCATCGGACCGAAGAGCAAAGCACGCGACGTGGCAACAAATCGATCACACGATTGATGAACTGTTAGCTATAGTTGGTTGAAGTAGATGGAGACGGCAAAGATGAGCTCTAGCCCGTGAAGCTTTCACTTACCCTCTCACCAATAATCAACAGACTCTAGCTTTTCTTTTAGGGTTTTCAAGTGGCACACTTACATGATCACGACGATGATGTGTATACATATATATATATATATATATATATATAGAGAGAGAGAGAGAGAGAGGGTTAAGCAGATAAAGGAACTCGTGAAGTTAGATGCTTGTTTCTTCACTTTCTCTTTCTTCTAACTTTTTTCCTTCACTTTCTCTCTCTAAGCTGGTCTCTGTATCTACCATCGGAGAGGCGGCGACATGAGAGAGAGAGAGAGAAAGCCGGAGATTTTTTAAAGATTCTCGGTAGACAAAGTTCTATTATTGTTCTGTGCACCACAGTAACGGATGTAATTAAATATGATTCGAAATTACACAAATACCCTATTTCTAGTTTTGCTCTCTTCGAATAAAAATACATTCTAATGATAAATTTTATCATTATTTTATAAAATATTATTAAATAAATAAAATAAATCTTACTTTTATACTATATTGGTAGTTGTTATATTAAATAAAAGAGATAGTTATTAAATTTTTTAAAATTCCCTTTAATTGTTATTTATTTATAACATAATAATATAAATTGATCAATAATGATAATTATTGCTAATTTAAAGATATAATACTACATTTTTTTTTTTTATCAAAAATTATTACAAAGAAACTATTGACAAGGTTCAACTTTTAGTTCGATTTATTTACATGCGTCTTGGATACCAGCGAATTTCTAAACTTTTAGTTCGATTGGTCAAATGTGCCCCTGGAAGTTGTGGATAAGGTTCACAAATCACGAGAAAGCTTGATTTAACTTCAGAACCAAGTACGTTTTGCCAAAAAAATTGTATAGTATTTTCATGGTAGACAGCTGTGATGGGCCCACCAAAATTTATATGTAGACTACCAAATGGTCCAAACCTTATATACAATATTTTTTAAGGTGCAAGATATTATCTTTTTATATCATATATTATTTTTTTATTTTTACGTTCAATTATTATAAATATATCAACACAAGATTTTTAATTAAAAATATTTTTTTAATTATAAAATTTTCAATTGACTCACAACGTTAATTTTAAATTGTTAAAAGTTAGAAAAATTAGTTATGTTATACTTTCGCCATCCAAAATTCGCCGCATTTTCTTTCCTCATCTTTCAAAAATCTCCACTGCCCTGCTTGTCCTACCGCCATTGGTCACAAGCAACGTCCATTTGCCATCTCCAATATCTCACTGCGATCATGATCAACAGCAACACCTTTCATCATTGTCCCTGTAGATGAAAACCATCCACTTCCACAAATCTTGGTGATGCTAGAATTAAAGGAACTATGCCATAAATAGGTGGGAACTGCAATAAACTTTTCCTTTGCATCCTGCTCCGGGCGGTGCTTGGTTGTGTTTGTGTAGTAGGGGCGGCACATTTTGGGGCCTAAACAAGGTATTTTTTTTAAAATATTAATTAAATTTTTATATTCAAATTTTTTTTTATCTTCACAGAACTTCATGGTAAGACAGACAGGAGGAGAAATAATTTTATGGGACTTTTCTGAAATACTGTATGATGAAGACACGTGTCCTCGGTTTTACTAAAGCACTGTTGCTAAGATCAAGCACCTCGGCGCGCAAGGTCCTCGCCCCCGAGGTACCGACATATAGGATCACACATTNCTCGGTTTTACTAAAGCACTGTTGCTAAGATCAAGCACCCTCGGCGCACAAGGTCCTCGCCCCCTAGGTACCGACATATAGGATCACACATTTGGTATATTTTTACACCGACACGTGGCCTCGGTCTGATATGTACCTCGGTCGGCATACTCCCTCGTCCCCGAGATGAGCCTTTCCTCGGTGCCGAGAGATACCCCGTCCTGGACACTTCCTCTGCTCCAGGATAGGCTATTGACGTACAGGTCACTAGCCTAGGCTAGTCTAGGCTATTCATCATGACCTCGTCTTACACAAGTAATGTCAGAACATACTGGAATACAGAGGTCACAGCCAATAGGGGATGGACGCGTGGCAAATGATGTCATATCAAAGACAGACAAACCGCATGCCATTGCTGACACGCGGCTTGGGAAAACAAACAATTAATTGCACACTTCCGTTGATGAGACCGCATTCAATGCGGTAAGGCTCGGAAATGAAAGGCAATAAATGCTCCTATTACAGAACATTTATTGCATCCTCCCCGAGAGGAGCACATTGTACCGTCGGCATCCCGACGACTCAGCATTTATTACTCGGGACCCCGAGCAGTTAANGAGAGAGAGAGAGAGAGAGGGTTAAGCAGATAAAGGAACTCGTGAAGTTAGATGCTTGTTCCTTCACTTTCTCTTTCTTCTAACTTTTTTCCTTCACTTTCTCTCTCTAAGCTGGTCTCTGTATCTACCATCGGAGAGGCGTNAGAGAGAGAGAGAGAGGGTTAAGCAGATAAAGGAACTCGTGAAGTTAGATGCTTGTTTCTTCACTTTCTCTTTCTTCTAACTTTTTTCCTTCACTTTCTCTCTCTAAGCTGGTCTCTGTATCTACCATCGGAGAGGCGGNCTGACCACACTGACAGCAATCATGAGCTTTTAAGGTATAAATACTCCTTGCAAACAGCAAAACGGGGAGGCAACAACAAACTCTTTACTACTATACATTTTTCTCAGTGTGNGGCGACATGAGAGAGAGAGAGAGAAAGCCGGAGATTTTTTAAAGATTCTCGGTAGACAAAGTTCTATTATTGTTCTGTGCACCACAGTAACGGATGTAATTAAATATGATTCGAAATTACACAAATACCCTATTTCTAGTTTTGCTCTCTTCGAATAAAAATACATTCTAATGATAAATTTTATCATTATTTTATAAAATATTATTAAATAAATAAAATAAATCTTACTTTTATACTATATTGGTAGTTGTTATATTAAATAAAAGAGATAGTTATTAAATTTTTTAAAATTCCCTTTAATTGTTATTTATTTATAACATAATAATATAAATTGATCAATAATGATAATTATTGCTAATTTAAAGATATAATACTACATTTTTTTTTTTTATCAAAAATTATTACAAAGAAACTATTGACAAGGTTCAACTTTTAGTTCGATTTATTTACATGCGTCTTGGATACCAGCGAATTTCTAAACTTTTAGTTCGATTGGTCAAATGTGCCCCTGGAAGTTGTGGATAAGGTTCACAAATCACGAGAAAGCTTGATTTAACTTCAGAACCAAGTACGTTTTGCCAAAAAAATTGTATAGTATTTTCATGGTAGACAGCTGTGATGGGCCCACCAAAATTTATATGTAGACTACCAAATGGTCCAAACCTTATATACAATATTTTTTAAGGTGCAAGATATTATCTTTTTATATCATATATTATTTTTTTATTTTTACGTTCAATTATTATAAATATATCAACACAAGATTTTTAATTAAAAATATTTTTTTAATTATAAAATTTTCAATTGACTCACAACGTTAATTTTAAATTGTTAAAAGTTAGAAAAATTAGTTATGTTATACTTTCGCCATCCAAAATTCGCCGCATTTTCTTTCCTCATCTTTCAAAAATCTCCACTGCCCTGCTTGTCCTACCGCCATTGGTCACAAGCAACGTCCATTTGCCATCTCCAATATCTCACTGCGATCATGATCAACAGCAACACCTTTCATCATTGTCCCTGTAGATGAAAACCATCCACTTCCACAAATCTTGGTGATGCTAGAATTAAAGGAACTATGCCATAAATAGGTGGGTACTGCAATAAACTTTTCCTTTGCATCCTGCTCCGGGCGGTGCTTGGTTGTGTTTGTGTAGTGGGGGCGGCACATTTTGGGGCCTAAACAAGGTATTTTTTTTAAAATATTAATTAAATTTTTATATTCAAATTTTTTTTTATCTACACAGAACTTCATGGTAAGACAGACAGGAGGAGAAATAATTTTATGGGACTTTTCTGAAATACTGTATGATGAAGACACGTGTCCTCGGTTTTACTAAAGCACTGTTGCTAAGATCAAGCACCTCGGCGCGCAAGGTCCTCGCCCCCGAGGTACCGACATATAGGATCACACATTCGGTATATTTTTACACCGACACGTGGCCTCGGTCTGATATGTACCTCGGTCGGCATACTCCCTCGTCCCCGAGATGAGCCTTTCCTCGGTGCCGAGAGATACCCCGTCCTGGACACTTCCTCTGCTCCAGGATAGGCTATTGACGTACAGGTCACTAGCCTAGGCTAGTCTAGGCTATTCATCATGACCTCGTCTTACACAAGTAATGTCAGAACATACTGGAATACAGAGGTCACAGCCAATAGGGGATGGACGCGTGGCAAATGATGTCATATCAAAGACAGACAAACCGCATGCCATTGCTGACACGCGGCTTGGGAAAACAAACAATTAATTGCACACTTCCGTTGATGAGACCGCATTCAATGCGGTAAGGCTCGGAAATGAAAGGCAATAAATGCTCCTATTACAGAACATTTATTGCATCCTCCCCGAGAGGAGCACATTGTACCGTCGGCATCCCGACGACTCAGCATTTATTACTCGGGACCCCGAGCAGTTAATTAGAGAAGACATTCCTCATCAGAATCAATGCACACGCTACCTGTGCCTAATGATCACCTACTGACCACACTGACAGCAATCATGAGCTTTTAAGGTATAAATACTCCTTGCAAACAGCAAAACGGGGAGGCAACAACAAACTCTTTACTACTATACATTTTTCTCAGTGTGTTTCTCCTTCCTCTCTCTCACTCAAAGACTGACTAGACCGTCGGAGG